TAGACTCTGACGTCACAGTCGAGCCGTTAGTGGCCGACTCCGCCTACTAAGGGCTTCTCGTCAACTCTGCAGAATCCTATGGGTGACGTCACGGACACTACGTCCATTTATATATACAGTCTATGGCCGAGACGCAGGAGACGTGAGGCGACACAACAATCGTGTTCCGTCGGGACGTGTTCTGTGGTGTCAGTTTGGTGTGTAGGCCCCTTTAGAGTCGTTTAAAGGCCCTGACACACCAAGCAGTCACCAGAGAACTCGCCGAAGCCGACTGCTGCGTCGGCGTGTTCTCCTGCGTCTTGGCCATGTGTCTCACTGGAACACACCGCAAAGACTTCAGCCGAGCACGTACGAACTGCCCATGCGTGAGAGGCAATAACTCTCCTTACCAGCAGGCGGCGGTAGTGTGTATTCGTCATTCAAAAGAGGCAACAACCGGAAGACAGAGAAGAAGAACAGACTGCGTGATATAAACAAACAACAAATAGCGTGTGCGTTCCATTTTCACTCTCGTCTATCGAAAACATGTTTCGTGCGGTACTGGAGCTATCAGCCATTGGAGTGTTGCTTGTGGATGACATTCTCAAGCAACCGTTTCGCTTCTCATGCACTGATTCGCTAGCTGAACAGCCAATCAGAGTGATTTCTTTGTCCGACTGCCTGTGGCCGTGCGTCGGCCATGAAAGGCCAAATAAGGCGTGTCACGGCCGACGGTGCGGGACACACCAAATTGAGTTTGGGCGACAGGACACGCTTCGTCGTCCGACTAACGAAAACGGCCGATTTCGGCCTGGTGTGTCAGGGCCTTAAAGGTTCAGAGAAAAGAGATGACGTCCTGGTTAACGTGAGGGTAAAGATTTTAGTTGACAGGTCTGTGTGAGGTACAGAAGGTGACGTTTAGGAAATGTATTGTGATCATTGATGATCTTTACAAGATAGATATCCAAAGAGGATCAGGTCCAATTCGATGAAACACGAAACTGACTCTAAACAGAAGGACAGCACTAAACTGTTTAAGATAAGATAAGAAGATACTTTATTGATCCCAATTTGGGAAATTGTTGCGTCGCAGCAGCATAAAAAGACAAGGCATTGTAGATTGGAAAAATGTAAAGAAATAAACAATCCAAAATGTAACTGTCTCAAATAGAAATAAAATAGCATTAAAAAATATACATGTGGATATAACAGGAGACGTTCCTCAAGTCTTTCCTACATTCAAGGAGCCTGAATGTTAATCAGAATCATTCGAATTAACTTGTCCCACAGCGGGGACATTAACATTGTCACAACATATTAACCCTCCTATTGTCTTAGTTTTCCCCTTACTTTGGTGTTCGCGGTCAAATTAGACCGGTCCTGTTTTAACTGCTATTACATTAACACAAACACCATTAATCATCACCAAATTTCATTTAACACCCTTTCAAACTGTAAATATTGTATCAGACTACTGGTATACATGAAACACTGCAGTAAATATACAAAGAATAGACACTGAACATGTATTGTGTGTGCCAGGTTTGATCCATGTGGGTGTGATCCATGTGGGGGGATGGGCACATAAGAGTGGGAAATGTATCAAATTGTTGTGTGTGTGTGTGTGTGTGTGTGTGTGTGTGTGTGTGTGTGTGTGGTGTGTGTGTGTGTGTGTGTGTGTGTGTGTGTGTGTGTGTGTGTGTGTGTGTGGTGTGTGTGTGTGTGTGTGTGTGTGTGTGTGTGTGTGTGTGTGTGTGTGTGTGTGTGTGTGTGTGTGTGTGTGTGTGTGTGTGTGTGTGTGTGGTGTGTGTGTGTGTGTGTGTGTGTGTGTGTGTGTGTGTGTGTGTGTGTGTGTGTGTGTGTGTGTGTGTGTGTGTGTGTGTGTGTGTGTGTGTGTGTGTGTGTGTGTGTGTGTGTGTGTGTGTGTGTGTGTGTGTGTGTGTGTGTGTGTGTGTGTGTGTGTGTGTGTGTAAATGTCTAACGTGAAGGATATCAAAAAGCCTTAATGCATCGAATGTAAAACAAAAAAGTTATGATTGATGAAAGTAGTAAATCTGTCAGATTTGACCCGAAGACAACAGGAGGGTTAAATAAAGAGGCAAGCAGATGTTAATACAATACAAACTCACTCTGAGGGAACATTGAGATTGTAGCCTTTGCCGACCATTCACATGCTCAAAACCCCCAAAAGCATTATAATAAATGTAATTTTTCTGTGACCGTGATGCAGGTCCAGACAGTGTGTCCCTATCGCCGGAGACGAGTGCTTCTACTGGCGGACCACGGGCTGTTTCTATGGCGACAAGTGCCGCTTAAAACACATACCAGACCATCAAGGTCGAGACAAAAAGACATGGCAACCGTAACTGTCCCAACACAACCCTAAACCAAAGAAGGAAGAGGATCAGGGAGGAGAAGGAGGAGAACACTGACAGCTGAATGTGTGAGGAAGAGAAACACATTATGGTATGTTCAGGGACAGGTGACTGAAGAATTTCACAGAGACAAACCTGCTGAAATTCAACACAACACTTCTGATGTGAGGAACTCTTTGAAGGGATTAAATGCGATGATGAACACGGAGACCCTGCTCTGTGAGGAATATTTCATCCAGAGGATCTTCAAAAGGAAAACTGAGTTTGGTTGGAGCATTTTGGAAACACTATCAACACAAAGCTCAGTGACTTTATCTCCTGTACACCACGGTTGCATTGCTTTAAGGTCAAGACAGGTATTTTCTTAGCTTTTCAATAAATGGTTTTAATTATGTGGACAAAGCAATAAACAAATGAAAAAATGAATTATATGTTTTTCGTGTTCACTCAACATCTTCAATAGTTTAAAGTAGTTTCAATCCTAACTTCTACATCAGGAATTGCAAGAATCTCGCAGCTGTTGTTATGATTCTTGCAATGAATGTGGAACAAAATGAGTTACTAACGTTAACTAATGCAGAGTCACATACTAATCTGTTGGTGCTTTGTCTAAGTGTTAAGCTACCCTCCAACTGAAGTTACCCTCCAACAGGAAGTTACCCTCCAACAGGAAGTTACCCTCCAACTGAAGTTACCCTCCAACAGGAAGTTACCCTCCAACTGAAGTTACCCTCCAACAGTAAGTTATCCTCCAACAGGAAGTTACCCTCCAACAGGAAGTTACCCTCCAACAGGAAGTTACCCTCCAACTGAAGTTACCCTCCAACAGGAAGTTACCCTCCAACAGGAAGTTACCCTCCAACAGGAAGTTACCCTCCAACAGTAAGTTACCCTCCAACAGGAAGTTACCCTCCAACAGGAAGTTACCCTCCAACAGTAAGTTACCCTCCAACAGGAAGTTACCCTCCAACTGAAGTTACCCTCCAACAGTAAGTTACCCTCCAACAGTAAGTTATCCTCCAACAGTAAGTTATCCTCCAACAGGAAGTTACCCTCCAACTGAAGTTACCCTCCAACAGGAAGTTACCCTCCAACAGTAAGTTATCCTCCAACAGGAAGTTACCCTCCAACAGGAAGTTACCCTCCAACAGGAAGTTACCCTCCAACTGAAGTTACCCTCCACCAGTAAGGCTCAATTCCAAACCACCCGCTGCACACTACCCCTCCGTTTGCAAGTTCGCGAGGAGGGTCCGCCACATTAAGTGCTGTTCCAAACCAACGAGTGTGGAGGGGGAGTGGGTAATCAAGCCCTCAAACAGCGAGTCTGCATCGGTGCTGACTTGAGACCGGTCTCTTCCTGACAGGACTCAACGCTGTGTGTGTCCGTCAGGAAACACGCTGTTTACAAACAGTTCCGTGGAAACATTCATTGATAAACTGCACAGCAAGAGCTATTTAATATCTTCATACAGATGTTAACAACTTGATGGTTACCTTGTATTTGTTTAAATTTAGGATCATCTACTCATGTCTAGTCTAGAAAATGGTCAAAGTTGTGTATATTTACATGGACTTTTTCTAAAACTAAGCAGCTTATAAACATCAGATTTTAAAACAAAAATATGTTTACAGAAAACATGCCATACATTTTTTTTTAGAGTTTTATTTTTGTTATTTTCAATCCAAGAGATGCTGATTTTAAACCGTTGTTACAAACATTATGGCATTTCCTGTTTCAGCTGGAGAGAGGGGAGTTCGTCCCAAAGCTTGCCACTGTATTTGCACCCTCCACCTGAAAGAAGGGAGCCTCAGGCCCAATTCCAAACCATACCCTACCCACTCCCACTCCGTGACGGAGTGAACTCCGTGGAGTGACACTCGCAGCTCAACGAGGCTCCCTCCTGTCAGATGGAGGGAGTAAATACAGCGGCAAGCTTTGGGGCAAACTCCCCTCTCTCCGGCAGAAACAGGAAATGCCGTAACTGTGTGTAACAACGGTTTCAAATCAGCATCTCTTAGACAACAAAATACAATTAATAACTCAAATAAAACTCCAAACATCTTTAATTGTGTTACTTTTTTGTAAAGCTCTTTTAGTTTTAAACCTGATGTTTATAAGCTTCTTAGTTTTTGCAACCGTTTGTAAATATACACAACTTTATAATAAAAATGCACAGGTATGATCCTATGTTAACAAATATGAGGTTATCATGAGGTTTTTAACATCGCAATTTATCAGCGGATGTTTGCTGGAACTACTTGTACACAGCTTGTTTCATGACGGACACACACAGCGTTGAGTCCGCAGGTAGGGCAGCAGGTGAAGTCAGCACCAATGCAGACTCGCTGTTAGAGGGCTTGATAACCCACTCCCCCTCCACACTCATTGGTTTGGAACAGCACTTAATGTGGAGGACCCTGAGCGCAAACGGAGAGGTAGTGTGTAGGGGGTGGATTGGAATTGGGCTGAAGTTACCCTCCACCAGGAAGTTACCCGCCAACAGGAAGTTACCCGCCAACAGGAAGTTACCCTCCAACAGGAAGTTACCCGCCAACAGGAATTTACCCTCCAACAGGAAGTTACCCGTCAACAGGAAGTTACCCTCCAACAGGAAGTTACCTGCCAACAGGAATTTACCCTCCAACAGGAAGTTACCCGCCAACAGGAAGTTACCCGCCAACAGGAAGTTACCCGCCAACAGGAATTTACCCTCCAACAGGAATTTACCCTCCACCAGGAAGTTACCCTCCACCAGGAAGTTACCCTCCACCAGGAAGTTACCCTCCAACAGGAAGTTACCCTCCAACAGGAAGTTACCCTCCAACAGGAAGTCTGCATCCGTCCGGATTAACCAGCTGTGTAAAAACAGTAAGTTAATAGTACTAGTAAACTGCAAAACGTGAAAGAATTGTTATATTGCCCTACAGATGTAAACAAATAGAAAGGTTGCATTTATTATTATTATGTATGTACTCGTGTCTAGTCTAGAAAACGGTTAATTTGATGAAGTTTACAAAAGACTTAAACATTTTTGAATTGTATTACAATTATTATTATTTATTTTCTTGGTCCAAGAAATGGCAAATGGAAAACCTGGTTAGGAATAGTTGGGACAGTTCCTGTAACTCAGGGGTGTCCAAACTATGGCCCGGGGGCCAAATGCGGCCTGTGGGTCATTTTGAATCGGCCCTCAGCAAATTCAAAAAGTATAATGGAATATGGCCCACAGATTAAACTTGTGCTTGTCTTGTACTTCTTCCATATAGATGAAAACAGATATTACACAGTATTCATATGTTAAGAAGACCACTTTTCAAATAAATTCAGTCAGTTCAAGTTGAAATAGTTTTCTATTAAATCTAAGTTGATAAGAAAATAGCCTAATGACTTATTTACATATCAAGCTTGAAATAAACCCTTCATATTTCCTCTTATGATAATAAATCTGAGGCTTCTGTTTTAAGGAATGAGCTGCCAACACAATAAAGTAAACCCTCTGGAGAGCTGTGAGGCTGTTTTTTTTCTTAAAGCATATTCAAGTAGTAAGCATAATTTACCTTCATTTGGTTGATTTTGCTAACTTATAACTGAACTTATGAGGCAGTATACCTCTAGTATTTTTCTATATGTGGCCCTCGGTGAAAAAGGTTTGGACACCCCTGGTTTAACTGTTTGATTGGGTGGAATTTGTCCCAAAACGTGTCGCTTCCCTTAAAGAAGGAGCTTCAATCGGCTGAGAGAGAGACCACAGACAGAGTTATCGTTCAGTCTGAGGATCAAGAGAAGTTAAATGCCGCTATGAGCATGCTAGATCATTTATTACCTCTGGCTGCCATTTTTCTTTACATTTTCTTGTTGATTTGTCAAAGAGTTACAATAACACCTAATCCAGTGGTACTTACAGACATTGTATTCTCCCCGTCCTTTTGTTGTGTTTTATAATTTGATGCTTTGCTATTCTACATATAAATATTAACAACGTATAGAAATGGTTTTACATTTAATCTGAAACTTCACAACAGGAACCGGATTGACAAAAAACACGTCTTCAAATAGTATTGTCCCCATGTTTTAGGGTGGTTTATATACAGTTTGTTCATTGCAGGTGCCTACAGGCCAAGAAAGATCTCTTAAGTTTTGTTTTCTTGAAACAGAAAGCCGTGCCAGGTTTGAAAACACTGCCAACCACAATCAACACACCCCGACCACATCCTTCAGACGTTGATGCACATTATTCGCTTCCCTCCACACGATATACCTGATAATGTGTTTTAACAGACATGAGAGCAGCAGCTATGGGACCGTCAGCAGCAACCGGTGGATTTGTTGTCTTCTTTCTCTCCGTGTCAGGTACTGTACATCGACTCTAACACTTTAGAGCATTTATCACACTAACTCTGATCATTTGAAGATGTCTAGAGGAGGATTGGTTTGAAATCAAACTTTCTAGATTTAATGTGCAATGAGATGAAGTGTGTTGCACTTGTCCTTCTGTTTCAGTGTTTTACACCTCACTGTATCCTTTCACCTGGAAAAGGTCAATCTACACATTTTGACTATAGACAACAACTAAAAAAGTGGATTTTGTGATCCTTTCTGATCCATAAAGATGGGCCTCTTTCCAAGTGTTATGTAACATATGTTAGAGCAACTTCCATACGATGTGAAAGCAGCAGCGTGATGTAAACCAATTTGATGACTGGATTAAGAACACATGCAGTGTCTTCCTTCAAATGTTATGTTGTATTTATGGAAACCAAACTATTCAAAGACAGAACCAATCTATGACAAATATTCAATTGCTCTGCTTTAAAGGTTGCCTTATCTGTAAGGTATGCAGGATATGGTATTGCACTTTTAGTATTGGGTAAACTGGTTTAACTTACTGATTAAAATGTAACAATATAGTCTGAAAAGTCTGACCTTCAGCCCAAAGTCGCCAACAACAAGCTTTACACTTGTGTCACCTCATTAGTTATAAGGATCTAAGAATGTCAGTGCTTCATCCTCCAATAACACAATGATATCCGGTGTTAAATGATGAATAGAGCTTAGAAATGTTTAGATGTCGTCATCACAGCCCAACCTGAGACAATTCCTTGTAGAATATAGTCACTGATGTGTGAAGTGAGAACATTTTAAGAAACAAAGTATAGTTTGTGTTATAATACATGTTTTAATTCGACAACGTAAATCCCCGTGTTGCTTTCTAGCTACAGTTCAGCGGAAATCAAAGTGACGTCAAGCCTGCAAACCACACACTGTCTGAGTCTACGCTGAGGAACAGACAGGAAACAGGCTGTGGTGCAAAAAGATTATTTGCATGCTAAGATATTTATTTGTTTTTGTTGTGATAAGTTTTGACGTAAGAGGGAATAAACAAGCGTCATTTAGATCAGTGATCCCAACCCGTTATCCTATCACTGAGAAAACTGTCCACTCTTGACTAAGTGATGCATTTTATGGAAATGTCCCTTATTTATTCAATGCATAACCATAACAGTGCAGACAACCGAATGATCTGTACAACCCAACTATGAGCAGAATAAAGGCAAGTCTGTGAAGTGTAGTTAAATATTTCCTGCCAATATTGCATCATGTATTAAGTATTATGCAAAATCCACTTCTTCATGTCTCTTCTTCATCAACATGTGTCCCCTCTTCTTCATGTCTCTTCTTCATCAACATGTGTCCCCTCTTCTTCATGTCTCTTCTACATCAACATGTGTCCCCTCTTCTTCATGTCTCTTCTACATCAACATGTGTCCCCTCTTCTTCATGTCTCTTCTTCATCAACATGTGTCCCCTCTTCTTCATGTCTCTTCTTCATCAACATGTGTCCCCTCTTCTTCATGTCTCTTCTTCATCAACATGTGTCCCCTCTTCTTCATGTCTCTTCTTCATCAACATGTGTCCCCTCTTCTTCATGTCTCTTCTACATCAACATGTGTCCCCTCTTCTTCATGTCTCTTCTACATCAACATGTGTCCCCTCTTCTTCATGTCTCTTCTACATCAACATGTGTCCCCTCTTCTTCACGTCTCTTCTACATCAACATGTGTCCCCTCTTCTTCATGTCTCTTCTACATCAACATGTGTCCCCTCTTCTTCATGTCTCTTCTACATCAACATGTGTCCCCTCTTCTTCACGTCTCTTCTACATCAACATGTGTCCCCTCTTCTTCATGTCTCTTCTACATCAACGTGTGTCCCCTCTTCTTCATGTCTCTTCTACATCAACATGTGTCTCCTCTTCTTCATGTCTCTTCTACATCAACATGTGTCCCCTCTTCTTCATGTCTCTTCTACATCAACATGTGTCTCCTCTTCTTCATGTCTCTTCTACATCAACATGTGTCCCCTCTTCTTCATGTCTCTTCTACATCAACATGTGTCTCCTCTTCTTCATGTCTCTTCTACATCAACATGTGTCCCCTCTTCTTCATGTCTCTTCTACATCAACATGTGTCCCCTCTTCTTCATGTCTCTTCTACATCAACATGTGTCTCCTCTTCTTCATGTCTCTTCTACATCAACATGTGTCCCCTCTTCTTCATGTCTCTTCTACATCAACATGTGTCCCCTCTTCTTCATGTCTCTTCTACATCAACATGTGTCCTCTCTTCTTCATGTCTCTTCTACATCAACATGTGTCCCCTCTTCTTCATGTCTCTTCTACATCAACATGTGTCCCCTCTTCTTCATGTCTCTTCTACATCAACATGTGTCCCCTCTTCTTCATGTCTCTTCTACATCAACATGTGTCCCCTCTTCTTCATGTCTCTTCTACATCAACATGTGTCCCCTCTTCTTCATGTCTCTTCTACATCAACACGTGTCCCCTCTTCTTCATGTCTCTTCTACATCAACACGTGTCCCCTCTTCTTCATGTCTCTTCTACATCAACACGTGTCCCCTCTTCTTCATGTCTCTTCTACATCAACACGTGTCCCCTCTTCTTCATGTCTCTTCTACATCAACATGTATCCCCTCTTCTTCGTGTCTCTTCTACATCAACATGTATCCCCTCTTCTTCATGTCTCTTCTACATCAACACGTGTCCCCTCTTCTTCATGTCTCTTCTACATCAACACGTGTCCCCTCTTCTTCATGTCTCTTCTACATCAACACGTGTCCCCTCTTCTTCGTGTCTCTTCTACATCAACATGTGTCCCCTCTTCTTCATGTCTCTTCTACATCAACATGTGTCCCCTCTTCTTCATGTCTCTTCTACATCAACATGTGTCCCCTCTTCTTCATGTCTCTTCTACATCAACATGTGTCCCCTCTTCTTCATGTCTCTTCTACATCAACGTGTGTCCCCTCTTCTTCATGTCTCTTCTACATCAACATGTGTCCCCCTCTTCTTCATGTCTCTTCTACATCAACATGTGTCCCCTCTTCTTCATGTCTCTTCTACATCAACATGTGTCCCCTCTTCTTCATGTCTCTTCTACATCAACATGTGTCCCCTCTTCTTCATGTCTCTTCTACATCAACATGTGTCCCCTCTTCTTCATGTCTCTTCTACATCAACATGTGTCCCCTCTTCTTCATGTCTCTTCTACATCAACACGTGTCCCCTCTTCTTCATGTCTCTTCTACATCAACATGTGTCCCCTCTTCTCCATGTCTCTTCTTCATCAACATGTGTCCCCTCTTCTTCATGTCTCTTCTACATCAACATGTGTCCCCTCTTCTTCATGTCTCTTCTACATCAACATGTGTCCCCTCTTCTTCATGTCTCTTCTACATCAACATGTGTCTCCTCTCTTCATGTCTCTTCTACATCAACATGTGTCCCCTCTTCTTCATGTCTCTTCTACATCAACATGTGTCCCCTCTTCTCCATGTTTCTTCTACATCAACATGTGTCCCCTCTTCTTCATGTCTCTTCTTCATCAACATGTGTCCCCTCTTCTTCATGTCTCTTCTACATCAACATGTGTCCCCTCTTCTTCATGTCTCTTCTACATCAACATGTGTCCCCTCTTCTTCATGTCTCTTCTACATCAACATGTGTCCCCTCTTCTTCATGTCTCTTCTACATTAACATGTGTCCCCTCTTCTTCATGTCTCTTCTACATCAACATGTGTCCCCTCTTCTTCATGTCTCTTCTACATCAACATGTCCCCTCTTCTTCATGTCTCTTCTACATCAACATGTGTCCCCTCTTCTTCATGTCTCTTCTACATCAACATGTGTCCCCTCTTCTTCATGTCTCTTCTACATCAACATGTGTCCCCTCTTCTTCATGTCTCTTCTACATCAACATGTGTCCCCTCTTCTTCATGTCTCTTCTACATCAACATGTGTCCCCTCTTCTCCATGTCTCTTCTACATCAACATGTGTCCCCTCTTCTTCATGTCTCTTCTACATCAACATGTATCCCCTCTTCTTCATGTCTCTTCTACATCAACATGTGTCCCCTCTTCTTCGTGTCTCTTCTACATCAACATGTATCCCCTCTTCTTCATGTCTCTTCTACATCAACACGTGTCCCCTCTTCTTCATGTCTCTTCTACATCAACACGTGTCCCCTCTTCTTCATGTCTCTTCTACATCAACATGTGTCCCCTCTTCTTCATGTCTCTTCTACATCAACATGTGTCCCCTCTTCTTCATGTCTCTTCTACATCAACACGTATCCCCTCTTCTTCATTTCTCTTCTACATCAACACGTGTCCCCTCTTCTTCATGTCTCTTCTACATCAACACGTGTCCCCTCTTCTTCATGTCTCTTCTACATCAACATGTGTCCCCTCTTCTTCATGTCTCTTCTACATCAACATGTGTCCCCTCTTCTTCATGTCTCTTCTACATCAACATGTGTCCCCTCTTCTTCATGTCTCTTCTACATCAACATGTGTCCCCTCTTCTTCATGTCTCTTCTACATCAACATGTGTCCCCTCTTCTTCATGTCTCTTCTACATCAACATGTGTCCCCTCTGTGGAAAGAGACTCTGAAAGTTTCAGGAACAAAGATTCTCTCTCTTTTTGATCAATTTCTATAAAAACCTGTCTGAAAATGAGCTGATCAGATTTTGGCCACTTTATTTCATTTCATTTTTATTTGTCCCGCTCATGGTACGCAAAACCAAATGTAGAATAATTGCCACTTTATGATGTCATAACGATGTTTTGGCTTGTGTAACCATTAGCCAATCAGCAACCAAGGTAACCCCCCCCCCCCCTTATCACCTGAATCTCCTCCTAGAGCACCATTGAGTTCTTTGTAACCAAATCTCTCTCAGAGGGGCGTGGGGAGGGGCTCCTTATTTTCATCTAAAGTAACAGACAGAGAATCAGCACTTTGGAAACAGGGCTGAAACAGAGGGGATTATGGGTAATGCTACAATGATCTGTTTGGTGTTTCAGCCAATCAGAGACAGGCTCTGGATATATCTGAGACCTGTGATATATTGATGAAAAACAGTATAATAGGGGACCTTTAAGTTTTCATTTTATTTTATAAACCTCCCACCCTGTTAGTTTACAGCCAGTCTTTTTCACACTTTAAGATCCAGACATCCGATTGCTAAAATCCTTCATCTGATTAAAATAGTGTAATGTATATGTAGTGTAAAGTGTATCAGAAAAATGTGGCCTAAAATTGGATAAAAAGCAAATCTATGACCTCTTTTGGTAGACAACCACAACGCTGATGCATGCTTAAAAGTGAAAATGCCGATATTACAGAATGTACAATTAAACAAACTGTTATTTTGATTAAAAACACAGATTTCTATAGGTTTTATAAATGATAGGAAACCTTTGGGATGATGTTAGTACACAGCTCAACAAAACATAGCATAGGTGAAGGGATTTTAGACATTTTAATGCTGAAAAGTAACATATAGCACATCCATTACCTTTTTTTTAAAGATTGACAGTGGCAGGAAATCAAAAAAAAATGTCTTTACCTCAAATCATCTTGGTATACTTCGATAGGCATCTAATGTTACATATGTTAAATGTGACTGTGGTTTCTGATGTGTTTACTTTCTTATCTATATAAATAGTTATCAATGCAATAAACCGGATTTAATTTTGTCTTAATTTACATTATTTAATTTCATATTCTGTTCTTGTACATATCATATTCTATTTACATGTATATAGACTTCTTGCACTACTTTTAATTTTGTATTTTATTATATGTTGCATTTTTGGAGGAGCTCAGGTCTAAATAATTTCATTGCCATTTCTACACTGTAGCTTTGGGTTTATTCTCGCTTCGCCCCCAATCTATTCCCATTTCGCCCCTTTCCCATCTCGCGCCCTTTCCCATCTCGCGCCCTGTCCCATCTCGCGCCCTTTCCCATCTTGCGCCCTTTCCCATCTCGCGCCCTGTCCCATGCAGCCCCAACAACAGCCTCTGATTCGTCAACAGACTTCATGCAATGCTTCATGGGATGCATCATTAGATCTATAAACTCTAACCCTAAGACCCACGACCAAGCAAAACAAGTATAATTGTTGTGGCCTAATGTAAAAAAGGGGCGAAATGGGAAAGTGGCAATGTGGCAATGAGGCGAATTGGGAAGGGGCGAGATGGGAAAGGGGTGATGTGGCAATGGGGAAAATTGGGGAAGGGAGGAGATGGAAAGGGGCGATGTGGCAATGGGGAAAATTGGGAAGGGAGGAGATGGGAAAGGGGCGATGTGGCAATGGGGAAAATTGGGAAGGGAGGAGATGGGAAAGGGGCGATGTGGCAATGGGGCAAATTGGGAAGGGAGGAGATGGGAAAGGGGCGATGTGGCAATGGGGCAAATTGGGAAGGGAGGAGATGGGAAAGGGGCGATGTGGCAATGGGGCAAATTGGGAAGGGAGGAGATGGGAAAGGGGCGATGTGGCAATGGGGCGAATTGGGAAGGGAGGAGATGGGAAAGGGGCGAGATGGCAATGGGGAGAATTGGGAAGGGACGAGATGGGAAGGGGCGAAATGGGAAAGGGGCGTTGTGGCAATGGGGAAAATTGGGAAGGAGCGAGATGGGAAAGGGGCGTTGTGGCAATGGGGCGAATTGGGAAGGGAGGAGATGGAAAAGGGGCAATGGGGCAAATTGGGAAGGGAGGAGATGGGAAAGGGGCGATGTGGCAATGGGGCAAATTGGGAAGGGAGGAGATGGGAAAGGGGCGATGTGGCAATGGGGCAAATTGGGAAGGGAGGAGATGGGAAAGGGGCGATGTGGCAATGGGGCAAATTGGGAAGGGAGGAGATGGGAAAGGGGCGATGTGGCAATGGGGCGAATTGGGAAGGGAGGAGATGGGAAAGGGGCGAGATGGCAATGGGGAGAATTGGGAAGGGACGAGATGGGAAGGGGCGAAATGGGAAAGGGGCGATGTGGCAATGGGGCAAATTGGAAGGAGCGAGATGGGAAAGGGGCGTTGTGGCAATGGGGCGAATTGGGAAGGGGCGAGATGGGAAAGGGGCGATGTGGCAATGGGGCAAATTGGGAAGGGGCGAGATGGGAAAGGGGTGATGTGGCAATGGGGAGAATTGGGAAGGGGCTAGATGGGAAAGGGGCGATGTGGCAATGGGGCGAATTGGGAAGGGGCGAGATGGGAAAGGGGTGATGTGACAATGGGGCGAATTGGGAAGGGGCGAGATGGGAAAGGGGCGATGTGACAATGGGGCGAATTGGGAAGGGGCGAGATGGGAAAGGGGTGATGTAGCAATGGGGCGAATTGGGAAGGGGCGAGATGGGAAAGGGGCGATGTGGCAATGGGGAAATTGGGAAGGGGCGAGATGGGAAAGGGGCGATGTGACAATGGGGAGAATTGGGAAGGGGCGAGATGGGAAAGGGGCGATGTGACAATGGGGCGAATTGGGAAGGGGCGAGATGGGAAAGGGGCGATTTGACAATGGGGAAAATTGGGAAGGGGCGAGATGGGAAAGGGGCAAAATGGAGAAGGGGCGAAATGGGAAAGGGGCGATATGGGGCGAAATGGGAAAGGGGCAATGGGGCGAATTGGGAAGGGGCGAGATGGGAAAGGGGCGATGTGGCAATGGGGCGAATTGGGAAGGGGCGATATGGGGCGAATTGGGAAGGGGCGAGATGGAAAAGGGGCAATGGGGCAAATTGGGAAGGGGCGAGATGGGAAAGGGGCGATGTGGCAATGGGGCGAATTGGGAAGGGGTGAGATGGGAAAGGGGCAAAATGAAGAAGGGGCGAAATGGGAATAATTTAGGGCCGAAATGGGAAGACACCGTAGCTTTGTGCATATGACAATAAAACCTTTGAATCTCGTTTGCTTCGCTCTGTGTTGCAGTGGTACAAAGCAGGAAGGGTTACATTTCTGTTGAGATGTGTGCAGTGAGAGGATCAACAGTGGACATACGCTGCAGCTACAGGGCTCCGTCCACAGGGAAGAGAAGCTCTGTCTCAGTGAAGAACGTCCTCTGGTTTACTGACACTCAGGAGGAGGGACCTGTGGACCTGAGCTCAGACTCGGAGTATGCAGGGCGAGTGAAGTATTACTGCGACAAGACCACCTGCACCTTAAGGATCTCAGACCTGAGGGAGAGCGACTCAGCTGAGTACAAGTTCAAATTCAAGGACAAACCCAGCAAGAGATTCACCCAATCAGGAGTCACTTTATCTGTCACAGGTAACACGTTTTGTATTTGTAAAATGTGCGCCATCTAGGAAACATTTTAGGAAACCTTAACTTTAGTTTCAAGTTTCAAGGCTTTTATTGTCATGTGTACATAGCTGCAGCGTAGTTATGACAATGAAAAGCGTAGGTCACAGGCTCCTCCAACAGTGCAACACAATAAAACAGATAAGATACTGCAAGTAAGATGTTCATTGTCATAACTACACTGTAGCTATGTACAAATGACAATAAAAGCCTTGCATCTTGAATCACTGAATGATGTTAATTATTGTGTGTTTATCCTGCTCCACAGGTCCAGATGTGCAGGTGCAAGTGAGCAGATTGTATATTTCCTGGGTAGAGCTGCAGTGCAGAAGCTCGTGTCATCTACCTGATCGTCCTTCATTTATCTGGTACAAGAACGGACAGAAGATTCAGGAGGAAACATCTTCCTCTTATTCAGACTACTTTATTCCTGCAGACAGTTATTCCTGTGCTGTTAGAGGACATGAGGACTTCCCTGCTCCTTCAGTGTGTGAGTTTACTGCAGTCTTTTATCGACATGAGGCCATCGGCTGGAGCTTTGTCACAGTTTTCACTGATTAAAAATCACTTTATATTTCAGGTGTCAACAGTCAAACCTGCAACAGAGTGATTTACACTGAGAGAAGCATCTGCGCCCCCAAAGGATCATCAGTGGACATTTACTGCACGTACAGCAGTAGTGAAGGTATTAAATCAAAGTTCTGGTTCATTCCTGAACGTAGTCATCAGGGACAGAATCCCTCTCAACCCGAGGACCTTAGTAAAGACTCCCAGTATGCAGGTCGTGTTCAGATCTTTTCACCATGGAGAGGACACTCCACTCTGAGGATCTCTGACCTGAGAGACTCAGATTCAGCTCAGTATCTCTTCACATTCAAAACACCAAGCTTTGAATGGAGGAGTGATTTACCTGGAACAACTCTGACTGTCACAGGTACTGACCAACACACACTGATTCAGAAAACCACAGTTAATTTAAAACATGTTCGAAAAATGAGACCTTATGATGATGTTCGGTTAAATACGAGTTGGTGTTTGAATTCAATTATTAAGGCTTTTGTTTCCATTTTGGTTAGGTTTTTATTTTATTATATGTTTATTGGCATTATTGTTTTATTACAAAGCATCCTACAGTATTTATTAAAGAGTTACTTAACTTGTATTATTATTAGTGCTTTACGGTATTTATAAATGGGTTTTATAAATTGAATGCGTTTTTATTTATTTTGTTATCTATTATTATTATTATTATTACTATTATTTCTATTATTATTTAATTTTTTTGTAGTATTATTTTTATAATTCTTTGCCATTTATTTTGATTATCTTCTTCAGCTCTGCAGGTGCAGGTGATCAGAGTGACAGAGCACCAGTTCTCCACCTATGCAGAGCTGCATTGTCGCAGCAGCTGCAGTCCGGCTGCCGGTCTCTACGTCTGGTTCAAGAACCTTCAGAGAAACACGACGGAGGAAACTTCTAATTATGCAGATTTCTTTTATTCCGGAGACAACATCTCCTGTGCTTTCAAAGGACACGAGGCTTCCCGCTCTCCATCACTGTGTGAGTTTAAACACAGTCATTAAAGGTCTCCTATCATGCAAAATGCACTTTTTGACGTCTTTTATACATAAATGTGTGTCAGGAGACTCACAAAGTGAAAATAAAACCCTCTCTCTTTTCCTCCGTACCCACATCTCTAAAAACGGGGGTAGAACGGAGCTGATAATAAATGCCCAAAAATAGCATGATAGGATATATTTAAAGTAGATGTTTTGAAGTGGGGTTGTATCAAAATCAGAAATCCTTTACTTGTCGCACAGCAAGGAAATTAAGTGTGTGTGTGTGTGTGTGTGTGTGTGTGTGTGTGTGTGTGTGTGTGTGTGTGTGTGTGTGTGTGTGTGTGTGTGTGTGTGTGTGTGTGTGTGTGTGTGTGTGTGTGTGTGTGTGTGTGTGTGTGTGTGTGTGTGTGTGTGTGTGTGTGTGTGTGTGTGTGTGTGTGTGTGTGTGTGTGTGTGTGTGTGTGTGTGTGTGTGTGTGTGTGTGTGTGTGTGTGTGTGTGTGTGTGTGTGTGTGTGTGTGTGTGTGTGTGTGTGTGTGTGTGTGTGTGTGTGTGTGTGTGTGTGTGTGTGTGTGTGTGTGTGTGTGTGTGTGTGTGTGTGTGTGTGTGTGTCCTAGCATTACTATACTTGTGGGGACCTAAATCTGGGACTCGCCTCCCTTATGGGGACAAAATGGAGGTCCCCATAAGGGGAATCATTAATTTTAGAGTGAAGACTTGGTTAGGGTTAGGCATGTGTTGGTTATGGTTAAGGTTAGGATAAGTCTCCAGGAAATGCATGTAAGTCAATGTAATGTCCCCTGAAGTGATAGATGGCGGCTCGGCATGCCCCCAATTTAGAAAAACTGACAAATTAGTGCAATGCTATGGACAGAGACAGCATGCCTTCTTATGAACACTTTAGAAAGATGTTCCTGCTGATATTAAACTTTAACACTTCCTATGTGAAGTGAAATGATCCCAGAGTTTCGGGATCAGCAATCTGGACAGCGACTGTGACTACTGGGAACGATCAGGCCATGATAACGTTTTATCCACAAATTATGAACTAATAACAATGTTAAAATATATTTTGTTCATTATATGATCGTGTTTATGTTAGTTAATGTTAACTTCTTCTCTTCCAGATGCTCCAAAGCTCCCCTCTGTGTCAGTGAGTCCCTCTGCTGAGATAGAGGAGGGCAGTTCAGTGACTCTGACCTGTAGCAGTGATGCTAACCCAGCAGCTAACTACACCTGGTACAAGAAGGATGGAAACTTTATATCTCTGAATGAAGGACCACAGCTTGTCTTCAGCTCCATCCAGTCCTCTGACTCTGCAGAGTATTTCTGTACAGCTGAGAACAAGCTGGGGAGGATTTCTAAACACGTCTTTATCAATGTAAAATGTGAGAGAAACAGCACCTTTTTTAAATGTAAAACAGAACTATGAGTGTCTTAAAACAGTTGAATTTCTGTCATAACATTTAAGCATTTATCTTCCAGATGCTCCAAAGCTCCCCTCTGTGTCAGTGAGTCCCTCTGCTGAGATAAAGGAGGGCAGTTCAGTGACTCTGACCTGTAGCAGTGATGCTAACCCAGCAGCTAACTACACCTGGTACAAGGAGGATGAAGACTCTCCAAAGGCTTCAGGACAGATCTTCAACATCACTGACTTCAGAGCTGAACACAGTGGGAGTTATTCCTGTGGAGCCGAGAACAAGTTAGGATGTAGCAACTCCACCTTAAATCTGAGTGTTGTGAAAGGTAAGTCATACTCATGGGAGTCATGTATTTAACATAACTTAAAGGTCACATATTATGCTAAATCCACTCCTTCATGTCTCTTCTACATCAACATGTGTCCCCTCTTCTTCATGTCTCTTCTACATCAACATGTGTCCCCTCTTCTTCATGTCTCTTCTACATCAACATGTGTCCCCTCTTCTTCATGTCTCTTCTACATCAACATGTGTCCCCTCTTCTTCATGTCTCTTCTACATCAACATGTGTCCCCTCTTCTCCATGTCTCTTCTACATCAACATGTGTCTCCTCTTCTCCATGTCTCTTCTACATCAACATGTGTCTCCTCTTCTTCATGTCTCTTCTACATCAACATGTGTCCCCTCTTCTTCATGTCTCTTCTACATCAACATGTGTCCCCTCTTCTTCATGTCTCTTCTGCATCAACATGTGTCCCCTCTTCTTCATGTCTCTTCTACATCAACATGTGTCCCCTCTTCTTCATGTCTCTTCTACATCAACATGTGTCCCCTCTTCTTCATGTCTCTTCTACATCAACATGTGTCCCCTCTTCTTCATGTCTCTTCTGCATCAACATGTGTCCCCTCTTCTTCATGTCTCCTCTACATCAACATGTGTCCCCTCTTCTTCATGTCTCTTCTACATCAACATGTGTCCCCTCTTCTTCATGTCTCTTCTACATCAACATGTGTCCCCTCTTCTTCATGTCTCTTCTACATCAACATGTGTCCCCTCTTCTTCATGTCTCTTCTACATCAACATGTGTCCCCTCTTCTTCATGTCTCTTCTACATCAACATGTGTCCCCTCTTCTTCATGTCTCTTCTACATCAACATGTGTCCCCTCTTCTTCATGTCTCTTCTACATCAACATGTGTCCCCTCTTCTTCATGTCTCTTCTACATCAACATGTGTCCCCTCTGTGGAAAGAGACTCTGAAAGTTTCAGGAACAAAGATTCTCTCTCTTTTTGATCCATTTCTATAAAAACCTGTCTGAAAATGAGCTGTTCAGATTTTGGCCACTTTGTGATGTCATAATGTTTTTTTGGCTTGTGTAACCATTAGCCAATCAGCAACCAAGATACCCCCTATCACCTGAATCTCCTCCTAGGGGCGTGGGTAGTGGCCCGCACCTCCTCTTTTTGCGGCCCTCAGATTAATTTATAAACAACGTAATTAATTCAAAAAAAACTAATGTCTGGGTTAGTGTTCATGACTTCATGTGTATGTCATCTAATGGTTAATCTCTCAATACACACACATTTTCCGTGCTTTCCAATAATGTAAAATAGTTTTATTCCACTGTTTAATAACCTGTTCAATGCAAACATGCCACTTGTAAAAATTAAATAACATTTCTGTGAACTGATATTTGTTTAGTGAGCTTAGTAGAGGATGTTCCCTTTGATTGTAAAATGTCAATGAAGATGTCAGACTTAGTATATTTGTTAATAATTACATACAACACATGGAATTTGTGTGTGTGTTCCAAGTGAATCTGCGGCCCCCTGGTGGCCAGTACATCAATTATGTGGCCCCCACCACCATCAAAGTTGCCCATCCCTGATCTAAAGCAGTGCTTCTCAAAGTGTGGTCCGCGGACCACTGGTGGTCCGTGAGCGCCCCCTAGTGGTCCGTGAGTATATTGGTAACATTTCACATTTTTAATTAATTAATTAAAGTTTTTCGCACTCTCGCGGGAATATCTCCGCAATGGAGCGAGCTTAAGTTTCACTTTCGATTGCATGATATAGCCCAGATAAACACCTTCATCACACATGTGGCCACTTGTTTGTACCATTTTCAGGCGATTTGTAAAAAACGATGTGTTTTTGGATATTTGTGGAGTGAGGTGGTCCGCGAGTGTTTTTTTATTGGTTAAGTGGTCCTTGGTATGAAAAAATTTGAGAAACACTGATCTAAAGTAACAGACAGAGAATCAGCACTTTTGAAACAGGGCTGAAACAGAATGGATTATGGGTAATGCTGTAATGATCTGTTTGGTGTTTCAGCCAATCAGAGACATGTTTTGTATATATCTGAGACCTATAATATATTGATGAAAAGAGTATCAGGGGACGTTTAACAGCCATTTAGTACCCTTTTCCTTTTCTATCCAGTTAGAGAGGCCTATCGCAGCCTTTCTGACCATGAAAGCAGAGAGCAACCAGGAAGTCATAATTCCAGTTTACATCCAGACCATCCGGAAGGTAGGTTTACAATTGCATTAAAGCAGAACAGTTTAACGGACTTAAACATCCTGTATTGAAATTCCTTTTATTGCACAGATGCATCGAGGTCACACATTGGGATAACACTCGGTTTCCTCCTGTTCATCATCATCATCATCCTCTCTGCCTATCTGCGGACTAGGTGAGCTTTACTATGACTATACTAACTAACACTAACAATTCAGCAATTATAATAAAATGTTTTAATTGTATTTTTTCACCACCATTATCAAGAAGATACAGTTTGACCAATCAACGGCACAAGCTCAGACAGAGACTGAACAGCATGGCACAGGTGAGAGGAAGAGTTGAAAGATGTATGCTATGCTATGCTAGCTCAATGGCTGTAGGGTGGAACATTTACTGGGTTGCTCTGAGTCGGAAAATACATTATTTTAAATGTTCTGTCGCGCCATCATAAGGTTCTTGTTTTAATCACATATCTCAGCAATTAATTGTAATTTGTCTGATCTTCTGAAACCGTACTCTAGCTATTTAATTGAACTGTTCATATTCTACACTGCACTGTAACTTTTATTCATGTATTTTTTCTTTTAATGTTTATTTGATTATCTTTGATTTTTAATGACTGTTTTTAAAGGCCATTTTTGTCTTTCATTTTTGTAAAGCATGTTGAATTGCCTTGTGTTGAAAGGTGCTAAAGTAAACTTGCCTTGCCTTATCAATTGTATTTATATAGCACTATATTGTAATTTACACATTTATCTCAGGGGGATTTACATGCATGCTAGCTTGCTAAACTGTGATGGTAGACACTGTGAACATTATACCTCTCTTGTTTCAGACCCTGCCGCCCCTCACCTGCCCTCAGTTTGTCCTCACAGTGTTTTCTGCTCTGACCAATCACCTGACCCGTATCAGTCGTACACGCTGGCGTGCTGAATGCTCATCGATTTGAGAAAAGTTTTTATTCCCACAGCAACATTGGAAATAAAATTATTGTTATGAATACAAATATTTTTGCAAATCTTTCAGCCTGGCTTCATTTTTTCAAGAGAGGCTTGTCGGTGTGTTGCACAAAGTCTAACTTAGTCATACTTCCTGCTTTCTTACAGTGAAGACACTTTTCTGCCTGCTTTCGCCTCCGCTTAATTTTTCTGCAGAAACTCTTCAAGCGCCGGCTCCTGAACATTTATTAATACATTTTTGTTGATGTGGCATATTTAAACACTTTTACGATCACCTCAGTCCAATTAACTATTTGTGTCTTACACAGCACTGTAACTTTATAAATGTATTTTATCTGTCTAATTTAAGCTTTAAATTAAAAAAGCTTAAATGTTTTCTAAGAATGACAAATAGTCAGAATTTTGAGGAAAAACTCAGAATTTTGAAAAATGTTCCCAAGAGAAAATATTCTGACTTCCAAACTGAGCTAAACATCTGAATTCTCACTATTGGTCAGATATCGACAACATGCCACGTGTGGTCCTAATCCTCTTTTGTAAAATTGAATAACAGAGCTGGATACAAAAAAAAGAATTCAACCTGAAACAACTTTTGATGTACTTATTTTTAGTTAGCAAAGAAATAAACCTAATAATTCATTCAAATTGTATGGGAGAGGATAAGGACATCATGTGAACATTTTTGGTTGACAAAAAACGTCAGAATTCTGAGAAAATGTTAAGAAAATTCAGAATTCATCTGAGAAAAAGTCATAATTTGGATAACAGTTGTTTTTGTTGAAGAAAGTCAAATCTGAGAAAGTCTGAATTTTGTGAAAAAGTATAAATTCACAGAATTCCCCAAAAAGTCAGACTTTTTAGAAAAATGTTATTCTGAGAAAAAGTCATCATTTGGGGAAAACGTTTTTTTTCCAAGAAAAAGTAAAATTGTGAAAACTCAGAATTTTGTGAAAGAAGTGAAAGTCTGACTTTTTAGAAAAATGTGATTCTGAGAAAAAGTCAGAATCTTAACGGTTAGAAACTCTGAAATGCTTCTTTATACCTGAAGTGGTCCAGTTTTTGTTAATGCATTATTTCTGAAGGACATTACAAACACCAATGATGTTTATTACACACGGCATCTATTGCACGTCTGTCCGTCCTGGGAGAGGGATCCCTCCTCTGTTGCTCTCCCTGAGGTTTCTCCCATGTTCCCTTTAAACTGTGGGTTTTCTCTGGAAGTGTTTCCTTGTACGATGTGAGGGTCTAAGGACAGAGGGTCTAAGGACAGAGGGTGTCGTATTGTCCTACTGATATTCTGTACACACTGTGAAGACCACTGAGACAAATGTAACATTTGTGATATTGGGCTATATAAATAAACATTGATTGATTGATTTATACCGATCTGAAAATGAATAAGAAGATTTAACATTTTCTGTCAGAATCTTAAGGGTTTACTGAAAAAATGATTTATTAAGGCAACCATTAAACTAATGCATGTCTTTCTGCATTTCTAGATACACCTATAATAATACTAATTATTATTGTAGTCATAATTGTGACGCTGCTGGCTCTGATCCTGATAGCTGTTCTTCTTCTGTGTTGTTGCAGGAGGTAAATCATTTCACCTTTAAATAATTTGTCTTTGTGGACATAACGTAAAACCTACCTCAGTTCTGTCCTTTTTTGTAAGGCAATTAATAGCGTTGTAAGACTAAGATAGATTTATTTTCAAGATTTCTAAATCATAAATTGTTTGTGACAAATTAAATCCAGGAAGAAGAACACTCTGGACTCCCCCAATGAAGCGATGAGGGGTCGTGCAATAGGTCGCCATTGTCAGTATGTGGATTGTGTTTGTTCAAACGGTGTATGACTGATGATATGTGTATGTCTCTTAATGTCCACTATGTTTGTATATGTACATGTATGCTGAACTGCAGGACGGAGCCCAGAACAAATTTCCTTACGGGGACAATAAAGTATATCGTATCGTATCGAATGACCCTGTGTACAGTGTGAAGGTTAGAGAATCATGAAAGGTGGTTTATTAAACGTATAACACATTTTTAGATCAAATCTAACAGAAAGCCTGTTTTAAATTGAGTCATGTTGTCTTTTCTCCCCATCGGCTGGACTCTGGTCCTGAGTACCAACATGTCTCAGGCTTCAAGGGTATCTCAGCAGCACAGACTGAAGACTCTGAGCAACAGGAAGAGCTAATGTGAAGCATCACATTTTACACCATGCACTGTTTATTGTAAACATTTCACAGACACCTCACCAGATGGCACACTTTACATGTTGCAGTGGCTGATTGGAAGAAACCGAGAGCTTCCCTAATAACTTTTGCTACTTTGAACATAATTTCAGTTCCCTCTCACTCCTGCAAGAGGCGCCACTGTGCAGAAAGACAAAATGTTTATGAACAGGTACATATTTTTGGAAAGCCCGTCTGGCAGCCTTGTTTTGAGCTATTTGTAATTTCTGTAAATGTGTTTTTGCTGCTGATGACCATATGACCGGACAGTACTCAAGATGTGACAAAACCAGAGACTGAATGACTTGTTTCAAAGTGGTTGGTGTTACATACTTTGTACATTTTCTCGCCACAGCTATGCTCCTTCCCATTTTAGTTACGATACTATCAATTTGCTTTGTCCACCGTAAACCAGAATCAAGAACAATGCCAAGCACCTTAGTCTCGTGTACCTGTTCCACTGGCTGACCAGCCGGCGTCAGGCTTAATGAGGATTGCTGCTTAACATGTGTCTGGATCCGAACACCATTGCTTTTGTTTTTGCAATGTTGAGTACCAGTTTGTTATTGTTGACCCAGTCTGCTATGGCTTTAATCTCTATTTTAAGTAGATAGTTGAACTCACTGCATGTTGATGCTGTACTGTACATCGTGGAATCATCAGCTTACATTATTACACTGGACTTATTTAATACGTAAGGAAGGTCGTTTGTGAATATAGAATACAACAAAGGCCCAAGCGAACTCCCCTTTGCGACCCCACACTGCAACACCTTACTTTCAGAAAAGCTCCCATTGAAAAACACTCGCTGCCTTCTCCTAGTCAGGTAGCTCTCCATCCAACACATAGCAACTGAATCAAAGCCATAGCATTTGAGTTTGTTCAGCAGCAGGCTATGATCGATTACATCGAAAGCTGAAAAAGTCTAACATCACAGCTCCCACAAGCCTCCTATCATCCATGCTCTTTAACCAGTCGTCGGTCATTTGTGCAAGTGCTGTACTTGTAGAGTGACCATCTCTATAGGCATGTTGGTAGTTCCTTGTCAGATTGTTACTTGAAAAGTAGTATTGAATTTGGGTGTATACTATTTTTTCTATTAATTGACTTAACACTGGGAGGAGACTTATAGGTCGACTATTGGAACCAGCAAAGGTGTTTCTTTTACCCCTGGGTAATGGGAAGACCTTGGCTTCCTTCCAGATCTCGGGACACACGCCTTGCTCTAAACTTTTATTAAAAATGTGACTCAATGGCTTGGATATGTATGTGGCCGTCATTTTGAGCAGTTTACCATCCAAGTTGTCAATCCCAGGAGATTTATCATCGGACAGATGTAAAAGCATATTTTCAACATATTCTTCTGTAACATTGTGGAATTCAAACATGCACTGCTTTTCCCTCTTGACACGATCTTTAATGATGTGATGTGACACTGTGTCCTCGACTGCACCCATGGCATTCCTCAGCTTATCTACTTTATTTGTAAAACAATCAATAAAGTGATTTGTAATATCTGCTGGCTTGGTAATGAATTCACCCTCGGTTTCTATCAAGGAAGGATGCATGTTTGGATTCCTCCCCATTATGTTATTCAATATTTTCCATCATTTCTTTCCATCATTCGTAGATTCACTGAGTATTAGTAGTATTCCCTCTTTCTACATTTATTCAATTTGGTTACCGCATTTCTTAGTTTACAGTAATGTTGTTTGTCACATAGAGAACCTGTTCTGTCTGCAGTTTTTTTAGCATCATCTCGTTGGACCATTAAACTTCTCATCTCGTCATTCAACCAAGGTGCACACTTTGACCGGGCAGACCATTTTCTCATAGGAACATGCTGATAGGCAATCCCCATGAAAGACTTCATAAATACTCCCAGTGCTTTCTCTGGGTTTTCCTCATGGCAAACATCAAACCATTGCACATTCTTTACCTCCTCTACAAATTGTTCCTGATTAAACCCCTTATAAGACCTTCTATAATGTATCTTGGAGCCAGCCTTAGGTATTTTGGTCTTGCGTACTATAGCAACTAGATTATGATCACTAAAGCCAACTGTGAGTGACAACGCTTTAGTGCAGTGCTCTGGCCTGTTAGTATAGATGTGGTCAATGCAGGTCGTTGTAATAGCCCCATGTTTATTTGTAGCCCTTCTGGTTGGTGATGTTATTACCTGAGTCATATTACACATTTTGGCAGCTAATGCAATCTTGTTCCACATGGGGCATTTCTCATTGAAGGCATTGATATTCAGGTCTCCCATGAAATATATTTCGCTATTACACTCAGCTGTATTATCTACCATTTCACAAATACCATCTAGATAGTTTGAATTGGCACTCGGTGGCCTATATATATTTAATGTTTAATTGACTGCACTGTAACTTTTATCCATGTATTTTTTCTTTTAATGTTTATTTTATTAGCTTTTCTTTTTAATGACTGATTTTAAATGCCATTTTCTTAATCTCTTTCATTTTTTGTAAAGCACTTTGAATTGCCTTGTGTTGAAAAGTGCTATATAAATAAACTTGCCTTGCCTATAACAGCATCCAATTAATATGGGTTTTAAATGTGGCAATTGTATTTGTAACCATAAAGCTTCTATTTCATTTTTCATTAGGTCGTATCGTACTTTAGCTGGAATATGATTTTGTACATAGATCAAAACTCCGCCACCATTCTTATCTCTATCCTTTCTGAAAAGATTGTAACCATGCATTGCAACCTCTGAATCATCAACAGATAACTCCAGGTGTGATTCTGAGATAGCCAGTATGTGTATATTATTTGAGTCTA